CTCTTTTTTTTAGGTAAAAGAGATACGGAAAATGTCTTTTACGATATTCTAGAAGGAAAAAACGCCTATCTAAAGTATAAAGACAAGAAGATCAAAAAGTCGTAAAATTGCCCTTTTTCCAAAGGGGTTAACCCATAGTTTTGGCCCAAAAATGGCCATTTTTCCAACTTCTTTTTTTTTAGGTAAAATAGGGCAGGAAAATGTCTTTTACTATATTCTACAACGAAAAAACGCCTTTCTAGGCTATAAAAACAAGAGGTTCAAAAAGTCGAAAAACTGGAATTTTTCCAAAGGGGTTAACCCATGGTTTTGGTCCAAAAATGGCCATTTTTTCAACTTCTTTTTTTTAGGCAATATAGGCCAGGAAAAAGTGTTTTACGACATTCTAGAACGAAAAAACGCCTTTCTAGGCTATAAAAACAAGAAGTTTAAAAAGTCGAAAAATTGCCATTATTCTAAATGAGTTAACTCATTGTTTTTGTAAAAAAATGGCCATTTTTCCGACTTCTTTTTTTTAGGCTATATAGGCCAGGAAAATGTGTTTTACGATATTTTAGAACGAAAGAAGGCCTTTTTAGACTTTAAAAACCAGAAGTTTAAAAATTCAAAAATTGGCATTTTTCCAAAGAGGTTAACGATATTCTAGATTTTTCCAAAGGGGTTAACCCATGGTTTTGGTCCTTAAAAATGGCCATTTTTCCAACTTTTTTTTTTTAGGCAAATTAGGCCAGGAAAATGTGATTTACGATATTTTAGAACAAAAAACGGCTTTCTAGGCAATAAAAACAAGAAGTTCAAAAAGTCGAAAAATTGGTGTTTTTTTAAACGGGTTAACCCATGGTTTTTGGACAAAAATGGTCATTTTTGCAACTTCTTTTTTTTAAGCAAAATAGGTCAGGAAAATGCTTTTCCAATATTCTAGAACGAAAAAACCGTTTCTAGGCTATAAAAACAAGAAGTTCAAAAAGTCGAAAAATTGCCATTTTTCTAAATGAGTTAACCCATTGTTTTGTACAAAAATGGCCATTTTTCCACCTTCTTTTTTTTAGGCAATATAGGCCAGGAAAATGTGTTTTACGATATTTTAGAACGTAAGAAGGCCTTTCTAGGCTTTAAAAACGAGAAATTCAAAAATTCAAAAATTGGTATTTTTCCAAAGAGGTTAACCCATGGTTTTGGTCGAAAAATGGCCGTTTCTCCAACTTTTCTTTTTAGGCAAAATAGGCAAGGGATAATGTCTTTTACGACATTCTAGAACGAAAAAATGCTTTTCTAGGCTAAAAAACAAGAAGTTCAAAAAGTCGAAGAATTGCCATTTTTCTAAACGGGTTAATCCATGGTTTTTGGACAAAAATGACCTTTTTGGCAACTTCTTTTTTTTTAGGCAAAATAGGCCAGGAAAATGTGTTTTGCGATATTCTAGAACAAAAAAACGCCTTTCTAGGCTATAAAAACAAGAAGTTTAAAAAGTCAAAGAATTGCCATTTCTCCAAAGGGGTTAGCCCATGGTTTTGGTACAAAAATGGCCATTTTTCTAATTTTTTTTTTTTTCGAAATAGGCCAGGAAAATGTCTTTTACGATATTCTAGAACGAAAAAAATGCCTTTCTAGGCTATAAAAACGACAAGATCAAAAAGTGGAAAAATTGACATTTTTCAACAGGGGTTAACCCATGGTTTTGGTCCAAAAATGGCCATTTTTTCAACTTCTTTTTTTCTGGCAAAATAGGCCAGGAAAATGTGTTTTACGATATTTTAGAACGAATGGACGCCTTTCTAGGCTTTAAAAACAAGGAGTTCAAAAAGTCCAAAAAATTGCCATTTTTCTAACGGGGTTAACCCATGGTTTTGGTCCAAAAATAGCCATTGTTTTAACGTTTTTTGGAGGGGCAAAACAGGCCATGAAAATGTCTCTTAGGACATTCTAGCACGTAAAAACACCTTTCTAGGCTTTACAAACAAGGAGATTAAAGCGTCGGAAAATTGCCATTTTTCTAAAAGGGTTAACCCATGGTTTTGGTCCAAAAATGTCCATTTTTTCAACTTCTTTTTTTTAGGCAAAATAGGCCAGGAAAATGTGTTTTACGATATTTTAGAACGACAAAACGCCTTTCTAGGCTATAAAAACAAGACGCTCCAAAAGTCGAAAAATTGTTATTTTTCTAAAGGGGTTAACCCATTGTTTTTGGACAAAAATGGCCTTTTTGGCAACTTCTTTTTATTAGGCAAAATAGGCCAGGAAAATGTCTTTTACAATAACCTAGAACCAAAAAACGCCTTTCTACACTTTAAAAAAAAAAGTTCAAAAAGTCGAAAAATTGCTATTTTTCCAAAGGGGTTAACCCATGGTTTTTGTCTAAAGATGGTCATTTTTCCAAATTCTTTTTTTTAGGTAAAAGAGATAAGGAAAAAAGTTTTTACGATATTCTAGAACGAAAAAACGCCTTTCTAGGCTATAAAAAAAACAAGTTAAAAAAGTCGAAAAATTGCCATTTTTCCAAGGGGGTTAGCCCACGGTTTTGGTCCAAAACTGACCATTTTTGCAACTTCATTTTTTTAGGCAATATACGCCTGAAAAATGTCTTTTACGACATTCTAGAACGAAAAAACACCTTTTTACATCACGATACCTTTCCGAAAGTAATATATTGCGGATTTACTAATCTCGCGAACTTAGGTAGTCGAGGGGTAATTAGCTCCGGGTCGCACTAGTTTTACGAAGAGACAATGTACTCATATGGCTGGATAAAATTGGCCACTATTGTGACGTATTTATTAATATCACAATAAAAAGTCACGCCACGCTTAACAAACTAATCAGATCGTGACGTGACATGGAAAAAATTAAGTAATTGAATGTCTCTTCGGAAAAGGTGGGGAAGAAATAACCGCCACAAGGCACACAGCGTGTGACCACCCCACCAAGATCCGGAACTAAGAACCCCGAGGAATATTTTAACTGAAAACAGCGAGGATATAAGAAAATCTTGTAAAGTACGGTCATTTCCAGCAGCCCCTGGCTGACCTAGTCATGAACCGCACGCGAACTGACATTGAAAACAGAGGTTAAATAACATAGCAATTCGTGCCAGGACCGTAGCTCCTTCGTAGGACAGATAACCTATTGATAAAGCAGTACATGAGAACAGATTGGTAAAGTACATAGTAAGTGATAGCGGAAAGAGTCCACAGTGAAAAACCCTTTCAGCATGGCAGCCCCTGACTGACCCACGCATCAGAGAATCCACCGTGGCCCGTGAAAGCTAACCAGAGATAAAGACAAAAAATACTGGTCCCATAACGGATGTTTAAATAGCCGTAGTGAAAATCACCACTGCATAGCAGCTCCTGACTGACCTATACAACGGAGATCCAACCGCGGCTTGACTAGTGTCTTTGAAACGTTTAAAAACAATTAGTTAGCCTTGAGTGAAGGCGGACGAATGTAAGTTCTAAAAGCGTCCGAACTCCATCTACCTAGGGCACGTATTTGCGAATCCGAAAAACCTTTCTCAGACGCATGGCACGCTGCACCAATGCGAAAGCTATGGCTCTTGTAGCGAGAACAATCAAGGCCGCAAAAGTTCAAAGCACGACGGAGCTCAGTGTTAAAATTATTTGTCGAGATTGCCCCGCCGGCTGCACACGTGAACAAGGGGCCTTTATGGTAACCCCTAAGTTTAATGTAGTCGATTAAGGTCTGCACGGGGCAAAACGGTTCTGAAGGTTCGCTTTCTATTGTTATGACAAACGGCCGATTATTCGTGTTGTGTTTAAACTTAGTGATCACAATCTTGACAGCCGTCACTCGAGAAGATTGTTTCAAAAAGTGACTTGATCAAATTGCACAACGGTGTCAACTTGCTGCTTACTATTGCAAGATAATTCACCTATTCTGAAGAAACCATAAAATGCTGTCATGAACATTGCCCCGAACAGAGATCTACGATAGGCAGATGGGCTAGTATGCTGTAAAGCTCTAACTAATTCGTACAATAATGGACGTGAAATGGGCATACGAACATCGGCTTGACCACGGCGGCCAACGGCCACAAGAAGCTTTTTCAACTAAAAATGATTTGGTCGGGTCGTAGTGGCCTTTGATCTTATGTACATATGCTATTGCTGATAGGTACGAGTTTATGGTAGCAGGAGCAAGGCCCTTGGCACATAAAAAGGAAATGAATAATGCGATACACGCTGTCGAAACAGGCAAATGTAAATCGGCACCCTGATAGCGGGTATAGAATTCAGTAAAGACAACCCAAGCACGTGAGTATTGTTTGCGAGACTGCTCCGACAATGAGGAATGTAGTAATTCCTTTAACGTATCGACCACTTCTGCGGGAGAAGGGTCTCGGGAACAAGAGTTGGCTCTGGGTCGGCATCTGGGAATGCTTTCCTGAAATCTACAATCTGTAAACGAGAAATTAAGTCCGCCCGGGTATTGTCAACACCGGGTATATGATAAGCCCGAAACAAAATATTATGACGTAGTGATGTTAGGACAAGGTCACGGACTAAGATCATGATCATGGGGTGTTTTGAAGTCTGTTTATTGATAATGTCAACCAAAGCCGCATTATCAGTGAACAGAGAGACACATTGATTGCTCATTTGACATGCCCACACGTGGAGCGAGATAGTAATCGGAAAGAGCTCCAAAAATGCAATGTTCAATGATTTCCAATTGGCAGGCCATTCTCCGTAAAACCAATGTTTCCCAAAAAGTGCGCCATAGCCCTTTGAGCCGGCGGCGTCGGTGTAAAGGTTGAGAGGCGGTGAAACCTGCCACGGATCGTCCAGAAAAAATGTACGGCCGTTAAAATCTCTTAAAAATTGAAGCCATACTAATAAATCTCGACGACAGGCTTCAGTAATCCGTATACGATGGCGAGGGAGACGGACACCCTTTGTGAGATCAACAAGCCGCCGAAGAAAGGCCCGACCAGGTAGAACAACTGAACAAGTAAAATTTAATAATCCAATCAAAGATTGAAGTTCTTTCAGGGTAGTTTTACGGCGTCTGTGCATGTCCAATAACTGAGCATTGCATTTTTGAAGCTTATCGTCCGGCAGACGTGCTTCCATATTAATCGTGTCGAGTGTTATCCCAGCAAACTGTAAAGTGGTTGAAGGACCTTCCGTTTTTTCATGTGCTATAGGTACCCCTAAACTATCACATAGGCTCAAAAAGTTGTTTAAATCGGAGGCACATTTGCCTTGAGAGGTAGCAATAAACAAGAAATCATCCAAAATATGCAAAACACCGGAAACACAGAGATAATGTTTAGCAAGCCACTCGAGCGCAGTGCTAAAAGCTTCAAATATAGCGCAAGACGAAGAACAGCCCATGGGCAGACACCGGTCAAAAAAGTACGAATTATTCCATGTCATACCCAGTAAATGGTAATCGTCAGGGTGAATCGGAATAATGCGGAAAGCTGATTTTATATCGGTCTTGGCCATGTAGCAGCCCCTACCTAACGACTTAATGAGTGTAATAGCATCACCTATTGAAGCATATTGAACCGACGAAAATTGATCCGGAATAAAATCATTCACCGACGAGCCATCTGGGTATGACAAATGGTGGATAATACGAAATTCCCCTGGGGTTTTCTTTGGAACTACGCCTAAAGGTGAAGAAATAAAATTATCAAAAGGTGGACGAGAAAATGGACCTACAATTCTCCCAGCGCACCATTCTTTCTCAAGTTTAGCAGCTAAAATTTCAGGTTGGTCCTTCGCACTGCGCAAATTTGAAGCAAGACGTAATTGGCTAGTACCAACAAACCCAACGCGAAATCCAAACGAAAAGCCATCAATCAAAAATTGCTTAAGACGAGGGTCGTATTGTTGTAAAAGGGGGCTAAGGGTGGATACTTTTACCGGCGTTACTGGCGGGCTGTTTATTATGCGATGGAGTTGCGATAGTTCTATCTCCGGCTGGTTTGGGAATGTTCGAGGCAGATTGACAGGACGTAGCTGCATGTCTACCACCACATTTGGAGCATTTATGGTCATATCTGCAGCCCGCACAGGGACGACCGGCGTTGAACGTGAAACACACCCCTCTGACCATTGATTGTTTTCCCCTGAACCCCGAGTTGGCTTTGTCGGTTGCAAAATATCCAGATTTGGCACGAAAAGTCACCGCGCGATGCCATAACTCCCAATGTACCACTCCCCAAGGGTACGTTTGTGGGTTGCCTTGACGAAGATACCGGAACTGTTCATCGTAATAGTTCCAGTCCCCCCCACGTGTGGCGATGTCGCGCACTGTTTCGCAAAATTGCATCAAATTTGGCGTCTCTCTGGGGAATTTTTCGCAGTAGACTGCAACAAAAGAGTGGAAGGCCGACACCCACTCGTGAATAGACGTCAATTTCTTCGCATTGTGTACCGGTTCGAATGTAAAATTAGGGGTTTTAGACCCAATTCCGGCGGTGGGAGCGGTGATAGATAATGCGAACTTATCCGGATTAGGGGACATATCTAGAAGAGAGCCAAAGTTGACGAATTCCTCCGCCCAGATCTTATTCTTTAGGCGTGCACTCAAGCGGCTACCTAAGGGTACACCTATACTAGAAAATAAAGGCGCACTGGGTAATATCTCGCTACCTGACGACTCAACGGCCCCAACTGGAGTATTGGTAAGGGACTGCACATCGCGTTGCACTGCGTCGGTGACCAGATTGATGGAACGGGAAGAATTCTGAGCCGCGTTGGTCGACTGTATCGCCGTTGTCACTGCAGCGACAATAGACGAAACCATTGCATCAGAAAGGCCCTCCGATCCCACACCAGATGCAGACGCCTCAACAGCCGCTTGGGAGGGGGGGATTTCGACCGGGTCAGGAACAAATTGGACGCTGACGGTATCGTCTGACGGTCCTGCTGTTCGTCGCGATTTCCTTCGTGGCGGCATGCTGATTAATAAGGCCTATAAAACTTAGCTAGAGTTAATTCGGACATGTTATAGGCAAAGTCGGGATTAGACAACAAGGAGAATCAAGGGGGGCAGAATGCATTGTACGCTAATTCAAAAATGCAGGATGCCCATTAACCAGCTACAACAATCGTATGTCATCATATGTGATGGGAGAGCGTCAGTCACGGGCCGATCACATAGGTATCTATAAAGACACATGTAAAAGCGTTAATAGCTGGAGTGAATTGGGCACGTCAACGACGGCCGGATTTGGTTGTCACTCAGGCACATAACGCAACAAATTCCAAAGACAATGATTGACATAAATCAGGGATGGGCATCACACAGGAATGCACAGAATCCCAAAGCAACTATTAAATTGCAACAAAAGCACATGGAAAGAACATAAAAAGACACCAAAAGCCCACTGAACGCAACTCCTTGGCCAAGGCTATGAACTTGCCAAAAATTAAAACTGGTTGGGCAAGAAATTCCTTATGTTTTTATGCGTTTTAAACAATGCAGTACTGCCCCCCTTACACTCCTGTACAGTTTATGCTGCCCTTCTGTATTTAAGTGGACACCATCGTATGACAAGTATGAACGGGAAGCCCGCCAAAATCCCCGATGCGTCCAATATATGGCAAAGGGGAGCGGTTCTAAGACCCCTTGAAGGTACTGCGCCGGGATTTGTACGTTTGCATTGAACGTTCCAACCGGGTGCCTTTTAACGGTTTGACCAACACAAACTAAACGAACCCCGTACTCATTATGAAGTAAGCAGACCAAATCCTCGATGGCAGAGCCAACAGATGCTGGAGAGGACCGACGGCGTGTGAGGTCGTTAGTACCGATTTGTAAAAGTACAACATCAGGTTTAAAACGTTCTACTTCGGTTAAATCAAACCGCCTAACCTTATCGATTGTTCGACCCCCAACGCCATGCCAATGAATTGTAACCGGGGTATTAATGTTTAAATTAAGGTTATATGTGGGACTATTCCTAATAATAAAATCCCGGAGCCTACGTATAAAGGAGTGACCCAAAATCAGAACCCTCGGCTGTTCCATACCGACAAAAAAGAAAAACACAAAAGAACTTGCCTGAAAAATTTGAACAGATAACTTGCCACACGATGGTGTAGAGGTAGAAAGGGGCCCTCGTATTCGCGCAACGTACTATAAAGCAATGCTCGATCACATGTTACCTAGTACCCAGTTCACGCAGCCAGTGCTTGATAACAACAGGTATCCCGACGCAAAAATGTAATTATGTTTGGGACATAATTTTTTGTTTCTAGGCTATAAAAACACGAAGTTTAAAAAGTCGCAAAATTGCCATTTTTCTAAGGGGGTTAACCCATGGTTTTTGGACAAAAATGGCCATTTTTGCAACTTCTTTTTTTTAGGCAAAATAGGCCAGGAAAATGTCTTTTACGATATTCTAGAACGAAAAAATGGCTTTCTAGGCTATAAAAACAAGAAGTTCAAAAAGTCAAAAAATTGCCATTTTTCTAAAGGGGTTACCCAATGGTTTTGGACCAAAAATGGCCGTTTTTTTATCTTCTTTTTTTTGGGCAATATAGGCTAGGAAAATGTGTTTACGATATTATAGAATGAAAAACGCATTTGTAGGCTTTAAAAAAGGAAGTTCAAAAAGTCGATAAATTGCCATTTTTGCAAATGGGAAAAAAAGGGAGCCGATGGTTTTGGACGAAAAGTAGCCATTTTTTCAACTTCTTCAACAGGGCAGTAAAATGTCTTTTAGGATGTTCTGGAACGAAAAAACGCATTTCTAGGGTATAAAAACAAGAAGTTCAAAAAGTCGAAAAGTTGCCATTTTTGTAAAGGGGTTAACCCATGGTTTTTGGACAAAAATGGCCATTTTTGCAGCTTCTTTTTTTTTCGGCAAAATAGGCCAGGAAAATGTCTTTTTCGATATTCTACATCGAAAAAACGCCTTTCTTGGCTATAAAAATAAGAAAATCGAAAAGTCGAAAAATTGCCATTTTTCCAAAGGGGTTAACCCATGGTTTTGGTCCAAAAATGGCCATTTTTTCAACTTCTCTTATTTAGGCAACATAGACCAGGAAAATGTCTTTTACGATATTCTAGAAGGAAAAAACGCCTTTTTAGGCTATAAAAACAAGAAGTTAAAAAAGTCGAAAAATTGCGATTATTCTAAAGGAGTTAACCCATGGTTTTTGTACAAAAAATGGCCATTTTTCCAACTTCCTTTTGCTACGCAATATAGGCCAGAAAAACGTCTTTCTTTTCGATATTCTAGATCGAAAAACGCCCGTCTAGGCTATAAAAAAAGAAGTTCAAAAAGTCGAAAAATGACCATTTTTCCAAAAAGGTTAACCCATGGTTTTGGTCCCAAAATGACCATTTTTTCAACTTCTTTTTTTTTATGCAATATAGGCCAGGACAATGTGTTTTGCGATATTTTAGAACGAAAAACGCCTTTCTAGGCTATAAAAAACAGAAGTTGAAAAAGGCCAAAAACTGCATTTTTTTAACTTCTTTTTTTTAGGCAATATAGGCCAGGAAAATGTGTTTTGCGATATTTTCGAACAAAAGGACGCCATTCTAGGCATTAAAAACAAGAAGTTTAAAAAGTCGAAGAATTGCCATTTTTCTAAAGAGGTTAACCCATGGTTTTTGTCCAAAAATTGCAATTTTTTTAACTTTTTTCGGGGGGGAGGGCAAAATAGCCCACGAAAATGTCTTTTAGGACATTCTAGAACGAAAAAACACCTTTCTGGCCTATAATAACAAGAAGATTAAAAAGTCGAAAAATTGCAATTTTTCCAAAGGAGTTAACCCATGGTTTTGGTCCAAAAGAGGCAATTTTTTCAACTTCTTTTTTTTAAGCAATATAGGCCAGGAAAATTTTTTTACGATATTCTAGAACAAAAAAAAAACGCCTTTCTATGCTATTAAATCAAGAAGTTCTAAAAGTCGAAACATTGTAATTTTTCAAAAGGGGTTAACCCATGGTTTTGGTCCAAAAATAGCCATTTTTTCAACTTCTTTTTTTTAGGCAATATAGGCCAGGAAAAAGTGTTTTACGTCATTCTAGAACAAAAAAACGCCTTTCTAGGCTATAAAAAGAAGAAGTTCAAAAAGTCAAAGAATTTCCATATTTCTAAAGAGGTTAACTCATGATTTTGGTCCAAAAATGGCCATTTTTTTAACTTGCTTGGGAGGGGAGGGGAAAATAGTCCAGGAAATTGTCTTTTACGATATTCTACAACGAAATAACGCTTTTCTAGGCTATAAAAACAAGAAGTTAAAAAAGTCAAAAATTGCCATTTTTCCAAAGGGGTTAACCCATGGTTTTGGTCCAAAAATGGCCATTTTTTCAACTTCTTTTTGTTAGGCAATATAGGCCAGGAAAAAGTGTTTTAAGACATTCTAGAACGAAAAAACGCCTTTCTAGGCTATAGAAAAAGAAGTTCAAAAAGTCGAAAAATGGCAATTTTTCCTAAGGGTTTAAGCCATTGTTTTGGTCCAAATATAGCCATTTATCCAACCTCTTTTTTTTAGGTAAAAGAGATACGGAAAATGTCTTTTACGATATTCTACAAGGAAAAAACGCCTATCTAAGCTATAAAGACAAGAAGATCAAAAGGTCAAAAAATTGCCTTTTTTCCAAAGGGGTTAATCCATAGTTTTGGTCCAAAAATGGCCATTTTTCCAA